GCGTCGCGGCCTCAGTCACCGGCTCGCGCGAGGGAGGAAGAGAACTACTCCTTTTTACCTTTGGTTCACATCATCATCAAATGGTAAGAACCTAGGAGAGGACCAGACCTCACACTCCCTCCAGCTTCTCGTCTCACCTTTTTCACAGCTGCAAGAGGCCTTGGCGCTCTGGGGCACGCCCCCGTTTCACAGTTGGGGAAACTCAGGCTCAGAGCGGGAAGAGCCCTTTCCCAAGACCACAGAGACATTCCATGAGTTAAGCAAACGATCTGGGCCCGAGAGGTGCGATATCTTTAAGAATAAAGCCAGCTTAGAGACCAAATGCAGACGCTTGTCCAGAGGCTCAAGTGTGCACCCCAGCTGTCTTGAGCAAATTAAATCTCTCTAAGGCTCAGTTTCCCCACCTTTAATGTTGGTAATACTTTAGTTCCTTATTTCAACAGACTCAGCAGATAAGCATCATCTTCCCTGGGTTGAACACTGCCAGGTGCTGTGGGATGTACATAGTAAAAGGGGCTAACTTTTCACCCCCAAAGGTTTCACCAGATAGAAGGAAAAAAAGACGTGATTGGGAATAACCCATAATTCAAAAAGATTGAGAGGGGAGCAGCGGCGATGGGAGACATTAGACTAAACAAAGACACAGAAGTTGCCTCCGATGATTAGACCTACCTGTACTGACTTTGTTCTAACAGTACCGAAGGAAATGACTGTCATCCTGTTGGCCAGCATCCAGAGTAGCCGGAGTTTTCAAAGTGACTCTGTAAAGGAAAAGCCAAAAACAAGAAAACCAAAGTCTCACTGATCCCCATGTTTGCCTAAACTTTTATTATTTTCGAGACAGGGTCTTGCTCTGTCAGCCAGACTGGAGTACAGTGGCGTGATCTGGGCTCACTGCAACCTCAACCTCCTGGCCTCAAGCCATCCTCCCACCTTAGCCTCCCAAGTAGCCAGAACCACAGGCATAAGCCACCACACCCAGCGAATTTTTGTAGAGATGGGGTTTCACCCAGGCTGTAAATTATTTTCATTATGTTACTTCACTGTGTGTATCCACGTGATACTAGCTGTAAAACCCTAGGCTTGTAACTCTTATTCAACCATTAAAGACCAAAACAAAGTAAATTAAAGGAAAATTATGATTCCAGTAAAAAAAAAAAAAAAAAAGTACCTAGAGTCCTTGTTACCAATGCTACCCCCACAGTGTCTGTGTACCTGTCCCATCTTGATTCTGTTGTCCCCGTGTTCAAGAAAAAATTGTGGCATCTTTCTTAAATGAGAAGAATATAAGATCACCAGGCTTAGAAAGGAAATCTCCAGAAAGAAGAGACATTTCTCACTGAGACACAGCATTTTAGAAGCAGTCTCAAACACATAAGACAGAATGCCTTTCAAATAATATGCACACCCTGACTTTCAAAATTTCACATTTTGGGTGCTTAAAGTAGAAATATTCAAGTATTAAAAAAAACTGAATTAGTTGTTTGAGTCTTCAAAGATTCTTAGCAGAACATGGAGCTATAATTTAATTTTCAAATGTACCCAGACTTGTCCTCCTTTTCCTCTCTGTGCTTCTCATTAGCACTAACTAGTTACGGCACCAAATCCCCAGTAGCCCAAGTATGTCGTGGGGTTTAATTTGCAGGTGCGTCTTGGACTACACGTGTCACAGGGCTTTTGGCAAGAATGTCATATTACATTTTCAAGTAATGCTTTTTAGAAATGCAGACAGGATAAGTGGTGCATTCGGGGCTATATGGCCCAAAGTGCAAACTTTGCACTGAGGGGCAGACGACTTTGCTAGTGGAAACATTAGCCAAGTATCTACCCTATCTTTGTCCTTTACATAAGGCAAGCCTTTCACCATTAGACAATATCTTCCTGGAAAGATCTCTCTGAGATGAAAGTGCACATTTTTTTTCTTTTTAAAGTTAGATATTATACGCTGGATGCAGTCGCTCATGCCTATAATCCCAGCACTTTGGGAGGCTGAGGTGGGTGGATCACTTGAGGTCAGGAGTCAAGACCAGCCTGGGCAACATGGTGAAACCCCGTCTCTACTAAAATTACAAAAATTAGTCAGGCATGGTGGTTCGTGTCTGTAATCCCAGCTATTTGGGAGACTGAGGCACAAGAATCCCTTGAACCTGGGAGGCGGAGGTTGTAGTGAGCTGAGATTGCGACACAGCACTCCAGCCTGGGCAATAGAGTAAGACTCTATCTCAAAAAAAAAAAAAAAAAAAAAAAAAAAAAAAAAAAAAAAAAAAAAGATATCACCAAAACAAAGACGTGCTCCAGTGTTCAAGTATCGGCAACTTTCGATAAGGTTCTGCTTGAAGGTCCTTGGTAGAGATGAAATGGGTGGAGTGTGTGGGCCATACTGGGCCTTTTATGTGTGCCAGTATAAATGATGCTGTCTACTCGGACCAGGTTACTAGGAAAACTTTTATTGCTGCTACCCGTTTTTGAAGGGTGTATCCTTAGTATAAATTTCCTATGGGAGAGTTTAAACCTCTCACTGTCTAGCACCTTCTTCAACAGAGAAAATTATTATTTCCTGCTGTCTCGTAATATTTTCTTGCTTTGAGGTGTATGTGTGGGTGTGAGCATGTGTTTGTACATGTACCCATGTACATGTACCCATGTACATTGTGGGCAGGGAAAAGGGGTGGGTGCTTTTCTGTGAACTTAGAAGTCTATCTGGATAGGATCCAGTAAGTGATCCTTTATTATGTGTGAACCCTGTTAACATTAGGTAAACATAGTTTATTTTCCAAACTCATGAGTTATTTTACTTTGAAAATTCATGCATACCACAATGGAATCTTTGCAGGTGCTTGAAGAAACAGCCTATCTGTATGATGAATTTTAGCTTATGACAATCTCTAAAAATCTTAAAATCTTTATTATGAAGTAATTAAATCATCCTATGTGGGTTAAGTTCTCATTCTGAGCATTCCAATTCATTTTCTATAGGGGGCATGAGTGTAATATGTGTTATTTAATACAGCGACAGCACTGTACCATTTGGGGACCTTCATATTGTTTTATGTGTTAAGACTGTAATGGAAGGGAACCCTTACCTCAGCCCTGAAACCAGGAGACAACTGAATCTCTCTGTGTTAATTATGTGTCCCAGTACCAAAAGCCTGCTGTGAACTTGTTAAGTCAGTGAAGAGGGAGTTTTGTTTTTGGATGTAACAAAGGTGTTTCCATAAAACCCAGCCTTAGCAACCCCTCTTCCGTCACTAATGAGATCTAAGATATTCTGCAGCCTCACGGCTCTAAACTTGAAACCTTTTTTTTTTTTTTTTTTTTTTTTTTTCCCCTGTTAGTAGAATTATCTGTTGACCAAGGTTTTCAGAAATGCCAAAAGAAACTTTTAGCAGTTTCTGGATGGGGAAGTTATTTGAAGATTGTTGCCCTTTCTGCCTTCCTTACATAGTCCTTTAATGCTGCATACTCCCCCCTTTTTGGGCAGTAACACTCTCCCTACTTTTTAATTGCCAGGAAGGAAGAATGATCAGAACATACATGATTATATAATTATTTGCATATGCACAGTTGACAATCTAGTGTTAGTCAAATAAATTGCCAGCGCAATTGTATCTGAAATACCCTGCTACCCTAAAGCTGCTTTGGTATCTCCATTAGGTGAGGACCTATTTCCTGTAAGTACACATGGCCAGGAAGCAGCAATGGCCAGCTCATGGACCATTTTGTTTTCCATGATCAGTGTTGTTTGAATGATTAGCTTTTATTCCTCCTCCCTTTGTTATTGGACACACTTACCATTGACAGGTTCACATGTCTATTGAAGACATATACTCATTCCTGAGTTCCTGAGATCATCTCTCTTTTCAGACCCCTTTTGATTTACATAGAAAATGGACAGCAATAGCAGAAGAAACAGTGAAAGTGAATCCTTGTAAACATATGTACAAAATTATACCACACCAATTAATATTGGAGAGACTGAAGTGATAGTAGCTAGTGGGGCTCATTTTTGAGTGGCATTGCATCTCATGGTCATGAGAGAAGAGGCATTATCTCTTCAAAGCATAATTTTTTGTTCTGTGACAGAGGAGAACAAGGGGGGAGCTCTGGGGCATGTAGGAAAAAAACCCCGCCCAACCCTCACCTCCAAACTACAAGCCAAATGCAGTTGGTATAAGGAGGGAGATACTTCGTGGGTTGGGCTGCTGTGGAGTGATGTGTCTTTGGCTTTCCCCTTGACTCGGGGCTGCATCACTACATAAAGATGTTTATTAGAAGTTGTTGCTCTATACTGGGATGATACTATGTGAACAGAATCATGGGGTAGATACAGTCTCTGACATCTGCACAGAATACAGTGGATAAAAAAAATTAAAATTGAGGATTGAGGATTACCATCACCCCTTTGTGATTTATCGTAGGCTCAGATTATCTGGCATGAACCTCCATAGTTTCCTCTTTGCTGACAACCCCTGAAATGCACGCATCCCTTTGTTTCCCCACAGTATAACTATTGCACATGTATTTGCTCAGTTTTTGGCTGTTGTTACATATTTTATAAATCATTCATCATTAAGGACAATCTCTCTTGGGGTGTCAACTCCCAAATCTGGAAAAAACTATGTCTCGTTTGCATCACTTCTGCAGTGTTTAGCATAGAATCTGAGAATCTCTGGGAATTTATAAAAGAGACTTCAGTTGACATGGAATACTATTTTGTTTATTGACTACACCTATTTTCCTATGGTTTAGCCATCTCCCTGATTGGAAATTTCTTTTGCTTTTTGGAGAGGGCTTTATTTATTTATTTTTTTCTCAAAAAGGGAATGAATATTTTTAGGCTTCCTGAAACTTGTTAGATATACATGATGCCTGGGCCTTTGCAGGAGCCTCACAGGTTGAAATGATCAGTGTATCAGTGTGTGTGAACCTAAATCAAACCCTTCCCTCTTGGACTTGATGAATGATGATAGACATTGACTATCCTACTTTTTATCTTGCAGGTGATCATTTGAAGATCTGTCCCCAGGGTTCTACCTGCTGCTCTGAAGAGATGGAGGAGAAGTACAGCCTGCAAAGTAAAGAGGATTTCAAAAGTGTGGTCAGTGAACAGTGCGATCATTTGCAAGCTGTCTTTGCTTCACGTTACAAGAAGTTTGATGGTATGTTATTCAAGTCATATGTAAGAGCCGACAGTTAAGTCTGTACTGTAGCTTTTTCGCAGCTCCTCTGCTCCTTCAGTGCCTAAGTTTTTCTCTCGAGATGTTGTCCTTGTTGGATACCAGAGACAAGTTAGCCCTGTAGCTTTATGGCTAGAACACTTCCAGATGCACTGGAATCTATATGGTAGGCATTATGGAAATATGGTCACAAGGAGCCAAAAAATAGATTATTTTAACTTAAATGCTTTCATTTATTTTCTTGGGTGAACACAGAATAGTGTTGTTGACGCAAGTCCCTTTAAAAAAAAAAAAAAAAAAAAGAGAGACTTTCTAATAAAAAGCAGGCATCTGAAAACTGTCTTAGTCAAAATAGCCAAAGAGAATTTACAGATGCTGGACTTCAAATTAAATTTCAAAATGGATCCCCAAAGACAACTAGAATTCCTAGAAGTTTTACAGAACACAGATAGGATTAAAGTTCTTGAGTTTCCATGCAGCAGAGACCTAAAAGTGGCTATTTTACTATAGTCTTCATTAAGCTGGGCTCCACCCTCAGCCTCACATTAGCCGAAGCTCTGGCATAGTCTGTCCATGTGAAAGCCATGATAGAACCCGCTCTAATCACCTGTGCCAGACATGAGTTCTCACAGGCACACTTTCTCTTAATATTGAAGAAATAGCCAATATGAGCTAATTGAGAGTGCACTTTGATCCTTTCTGAACAATGGTACAGGTAACAGACTTTAAAAAGAATACGGAGTCCAAAACACCTCAGGATTCTTTTACTTGGTGCTGTTCACTCAGTTTGAAGATTGTTATGAAGTAGATTTAGTTTTAAGAGAAATGATTTCCTTTGTGCCTGTTTTAAAGTCCATTCTAATTACATAGTGCCTTTGAAACATGCTTTTCTTGACATTATGTGTGGTGAAGAAGTACAAGACAAATTTTCTAGATATGAAATGTCTCTGAGTATTTCTGCAAAGTACTTGTTACCATGGCAAGAAAAAATTAGACTAAATTAGATTTGATATAACTGATAAGGCAGTCCTCGCTTAAAGAACAGGTTGTATTTCAAATGTTGGCTTTGAGATTTGTTATTTCAAACTTATAGCCAATTTAATAAGTGTTAGTTAGGTTCCCAGGCAAGACCACAAAAGCACATTTAATTTATAATGTAGTTGAACTAAAACGCTGTCTATGTGGTATACTATTGATCCTACCTATTTTTTTTGAAACACATTGTATGCAAAATTGTGACTTACTTCTATCTCCTTTCCCTGGATGAATGGGGACAATTTAGATATCTACATATTCTTCTTATTACCCATATTTCCCTACATATATGCTGTAACTGTTAAGAGTAACAGTGTGTTAACACCATGTGAAAATGGGTGCTATTGGCAAAATATATCATTTGTCCTCCCTGTCTCTCTTGATCACTGAATTATTATTGAAAAGAATGGTGTTTTCTCGACTATGGCATTTCTCATTCAAGATAATAACCTAAGCCTTTTATTTTACTTTGGGGAGAAAACTTAGAAAGATAATTAAATGGTCATCTTTGAAAACATAAGATGCCGATATTTGAAAATCACCACTTAGGGGCTTCATAATGGAATTTAGAAGGAAAAAAAAATCTGCTCTTTAGAAATGACTCTCCTGTTGGCAGCACGATGTAGTGGAGATAAAGTTGTTTGCAAGTTCCAAGGCCTTTTACTGCAAGTCACCTCATTTCTTCCTTAGACTTGTATCTTCCTGGCATGGAGCCCATAGTCATTGCCTATGGGCCTGCTGGTTTAGCTATTCTTTTCCCTTCTCGCTCCCCATGGTTTTATAGCACTATTCCTATGAGTCCAATGTGTAGTTTTTTTCCCCCCTTAAACCATATAGAGAAACTTTAGCAGTAAGTGTTAACATATGTTTTTTAAAAAAGGATAGAAAAACAGTTTTTCTTGCTCTTCCCTACCAGGCTTCACATTCAATAAATATGTTAACACTATGCCTTTATCAGTTTCAAAACATTAATGTTTATGAAACTCCAGTTTGTTTTTCCTGGCTTAAAATTAAAATATGGCATAAGCTGGGTGTGGTGGCTCATGCCTGTAATCCCAGCACTTGGGGAGGCCAAGGTGGGCAGATGGCTTGAGCCCAGGAGTTCGAGACCAGTCTGAGCAACACGGAGAAACCCCATGTCTACTCGAAACACGAAAATTAGCCAGGGGTGGTGGTGTGTGCCTATGGTCCCAGCTACTTGGGAGGGTGAGTTGGAGAGAATCACTTGAGCCTGGGAGTTCAAGGCTGCAGTGAGCCAAGATTGTGCCACTGAATTCCAGCCTAGGTGACAGAGCAAGACCATGTCTCAAAATAAATAAATAAAATAATATAAAATATGGCATAGTCAATAAAGTTAGGGAACTGAAATGTATTTGATCTGGAAATGAGTATACTGAAATGCTGGAATACTGGAATGCCAGAATACTTTGCACATTCTCTCCAAGTTAGGTTAAAGAAATGATTAGATAATTTTAAGTTTATATGCCATAACCTCAGTTGACCCAGCAAATCATAGTCCCCTAGTGGGTGCTGCATTGATTGACTTTTTTTTTTTTTTTTTTTTAGATGGAGTCTTGCTCTGTTGCCCACACTGGAGTGGGCTCACCTGCAACCTCCACTTCCTGGGTTCAAGCAATTCTCCTGTCTCAGCCTCCCAAGTAGCTGGGATTATATGTGCACACCACCACACTCAGCTAATTTTTGTATTTTTAGTAGAGATGGGATTTCACCATGTTGGCCAGGCTAGTCTCGAACTCCTGACCTCAGGTGATCCACCTGCCTTGGCCTCCCAAAGTACTGGGATTACAGGCATAAGCCACCACGACCTGTGATGATCAACTAATTTTTAAGGCTGTCAATTAGGACTTGCCAGTACTTCTCAAGGCCTGACAATCCAAGGGCATTGATTAACAGGCTATAGAATATTGACTCTTAGAAATTCAAGGGTGGGTGCTTTGGTCAAAAAAGTATCCAAACCCTTATAATAGCTAAACCCTGGATCATTGGTGTGAATGGAAGAGAAAAAGTTGGGCAGACTAAAAAGATGGTGGTAGGGAACAGGAACCAAGATGGAGCAGTGAGGTTGCACAGAGACAGCTGGGGACATATAGTAAGGAAATAGTAAAAGGGCACATGGAAACATTTTGGGTCAAGCAACTTCAAAGGAGCACCTTTTGTCATCTCCAAGCTTACAGTGTAAATTCAAAGTGGTGATCTTGACTCCAGACAACTTCGTCTATCATCAAAACCTGTGTACGTCTGTGAGATAATACTTCTTTTAAGGTAGAAACAATTACTTTTTAGAAAATAAACTTCTCAACAAAAATAAAGTTTGGGAGCTTGTAGAGAGTTAGCCTTCTGTTACTGGAAATCATCCCATTGTCCCAATTTTTCGTAATTCTTTCTCAATTGACCCTGATCAGGGTTCTAGTGTCAGCTCTGGTATTTTTGAAGTCATTGGATTTGAGGGATGAGTCTCTTCTCCAGTTCCTTTACCTCTAAGGCCTTTTTTTGTTCTGTACTTTTAATTTTCTATTGTTTGCACATCTCAAGAGACTGTACAGTCTACATCAGTTTTTAAGATACAAACGTGTGTGTGTGTGTGTGCGTGTGTGTGCGTGTGTTCAGACTTGGGTGAAGTACAAGAGAACACTTCCTCCCCCTCTAAAATTATCAGGTTTCCCATATTTTAAATATGTATCACTGAATTTAAAGACTGGCCTCTGTGTTTTTGTATGCTGTAATTTTTTTAAACCTACTTTTTAAACTTAGGATGTTTAATCAGAAATCTGCTATCTGCTGGAGACGTGGAGCCAGACAGTGGTAGTGACAGAGCTAGCTGCTCCCCCTCTTGGCCAATTTTGGGAATGTTTTTGATAGTAGAGCTGCTAATTAACATAGCTGAATCAGTCCTCTCATGAATATGCTAATCACATACTTAATTCAGGAGGAAGTTAGGGAAAATTGCTTGGCAAAGGGAAAAGAATTAGAAGTGGGGCATAATCCGTGTTTTGGGACCACAGCATAAAGACCCACCCCCAAAAGCCTGGCATTTTGTGAGAAAATAGTTGTTTTTAAAAGAAGCATAGTTAAAAACCCAAATAGATTAAAGTGATTAGAGCTGCCATATTAGATGTATTTCTGAATTTCATAGTAAAAATGTTATAGCTATGAAGTAATATTGCTACATAACTGCCTGTATCAAACTGTAGATATTTTGCATGTTTAAAGAACTAAGGAAATGGATGTTGTCTGATGCTAATCTATTGGGAAAACTCCGTTAATTTGTCATTTTTAGAGCAAATTTTGGAACTTTGGATGGGAGGCAGTACACAGGGAATTATCATCCTAGTTCTGCAGTGAACCCACTGTGACTGTGACCTGTGGCAATTAACTGAGTCTCAGTTTTCCCATCCATAAAATGAGGGGGTTGAGCTAGATGCTCTCTAAAACCCTTTCAATTCTACCAGTTCTGTGAATCTTTTAAACATGTGACTAGACCAGCTGCTTTAGTGAAAGGCCTTACAAGATGTTAATTAGCCGTCTGTATGGTACCCTCTATTTTCCCTCTATCATTTTTTAACTCGCAGCTACTTTCACCAGGTCTTTGAAAAACCCTCCCATGAGCCTGAAGCTTGTTAACTTGAATAGTAGAAATTTTCTGAATTAGCTTAAAACGCACATGAAAGAAATAATTGTCTGTCCCATCTATCTGCATGGGCCAAGTGTAAACCAAGCAGCTACCCTTCCCTGAAGCCCTAAGGCCCCTTGTTTCCTATCACTTCACAGAGGCAGGGCACAAAGCACTCTTCAGACTTAGCCGAATCTGTGTTTTAATCACTGACTGCAAATTTTCTGTAGTTCGTATTAGCCATTAACCAGTGTAGAAGCTCAGTGAGTGGGTGGCATTAGAATTTATAGGCCCATGAGAGGCATGACCTCAGTGG